CAACAACAACAACAACAACAACAACAACAACAACAACAACAACAACACTACTTGATGGGTGGGTTCATTCCTGCCCTCCCACTGATCCTCAGGGATGATCCTCAGGGACGCGTTGAGACCCTCTCAACCGATGTGTGGTTCCCACCTCTCGCAGGACCTCTGCTGATGCCTGGAACCTGGAAACGGCGGACAGGTGGCCCTACCCTTTCCCGTTGGCAACATAGTTCACAAGGACCTACCCTGGAAAGCACCATCAACCGGCTCTATATTTTCCCCCTCCTTGCCTGTCAGAGAGAGAGAGAGAGAGAACCATGGACCCCCATTGATGTCATATGCATTCACATGTGCTGCAACATGGCCCCAAGCACTGGTACATACACAACTTGGCCTGGGCTCATCGACCCGCAGCTAGGCTAATGGTAGTGCTGCTGGTATATGGTTGTTTTTACAAGCAGTTGCCGACCTCTGCTTGTTTGTGCATCGAATCATGTGTCAACTGGCCTGGCGAAGGCCTCAGGGAGTGAGCCCACTTGCTGTAAGAAATGCACCCCCAGACTCACCGATGGTACCGCATAAGACCACACTGAATTAAAGCCGGGCAGCCCGGCTCACAAATGGTAACATGACTCCATGACTCCTCCTGCAAAGCTGCCTGGGTCATCCCTATCCACAAGCTGGACCTTCAAGGCGACCTGGAATGAGATCCCTCCAGAATACACTAGGGAGTTGAACAGACAGCGCTCACCGTCTCACCGACCTCGGTGGACCTCAGGAAGTCGGCCAACGACTCGAGCGAGCTGCCCGCCCGGAGCCCTCGGAACCTTCTGCGTCGGAGGGAAGAATCCGCACCTGTGGACCGGGCGTAGCGGCCTAGCGCTTCCAAGGAGTGCCCTGTCTGGAGACCTGTTGACGTAGTGTGGGGAGATCCAGCCAGGTGACCCCGAACGGTAGCGCTTGGTATGCTATAATTACTGTAGAGGTCGCATGTGATGGCCCCAGCTGCTTAGATTGGAGATTTCATCCTTCCACGTGAGGGCGTTGACGCCCACGCTACAGGAATCCCCAGCCAGCACATTCAGCGCAGGCTTCATCATGCTGCGTGAGGTAGGTGGATTCGAAGTTGGAGTCCATTTTGATAAAACCCCCTGTCAAGTATCTTCCAAAGATCCCTACCAAATCCTGCCAAACAACATATCAACCTAGGATCAACCTAGGTGTAAGCGTTAGCTTTCAGGATGCTTGACTAGCCACACGAAAGCTGACTCGTTCCCATGTTTTTGTCTTGGCCACCTAGGACCTAGCCGTCACCAGCCTCGGTCCAGCAGTTTGTTTCTTCGTCGGTCCAGGTCGCTGGTTCGTCGTTGCTCCTGAGGCTATGAAGCGAAAGATCCCCAGCCGCCCGCAAAGCCAAGGCGCGATGCCGCCGGAGGGCACGATCATGCCGCGGGCGCAAGGAGGACGAGGGTGGCGAAAGCCACCTTCTTCCCGGCTTTGATCTCTCAGTGCT